TGAAAAATGAGAGAGAGTCACAAAAACAGTGGTGGGAGAGTCAAGGGGTATGAAAGTGACGATTGAGAGAGTTGAGCGGGAAATTGAGGAGTGGGAAAATTCGGCAGGATGGTGCAAGTGATCGTACTGGTTAGGGAAGCAACAAAACAGAGGGGGAAAAGTGACAAGTGGGTTCTCAGAAGAAAGACTTCAGGTCTTTTGTCCAAATATTAGTGTCGACTTATACAGAAAATATATGAAAAATTAAGGATTTCTTTTTCTTTATTCATTGACAGGATGAGGGTGTTGCTTATGAGGCAGCATTTATTGCCCATCACTAATTGCCCAGAGGGCAGTTCAAAATCAACCACATTGCTGTGGGTCTGGAGTCACATGTAGGCCAGACCAGGTAAGGATTGCAGTTTCCTTCCCTAAAGGATACTAGGATGGGGTTTTCCCCGATAATCAGCTCATGGTCATCATTAGACTCTTAGTTCTGGATATTTTTGTTCAATTCAAACTCCACCATCTGCCCTGGTGGGATTTGAATCCGGGTCCCCAGACATTATCTGGGTCAACAGTCCAGCAATAATACCACTAGGCTATCGGCTCCCCATAGCCAGAGATGATATAGACCATTATTAGAGCCTTACACAGTATTTATATTTTTCATGTCTACCCATTAGGGAGATTCAACAATAATTTCTGTACTTCTATAAAGCATTTAAAAATAACAAAGTCCCAATTCACAGGTGCTTAATAGATCAAAGATTGATACCAAGATAAAGAAAAGCTGTATTTTATGACTCAGAAGTCAACAGTTTCTGTTCATTTGTTTATGTGATTGGGCAATAGGACCATAGCAATAGGATTACTGACAATAGGTAAGCATTTACCGTCCTTGAGAATATGATAGCGAGTCAACTTTATGACAATTTCAGTCCATCCTGTGTAGATATTGTACACCTGCAGTGCTGTTAACGAGGGCATTCCAGCATTTTGAAGTGATGGAACATTAGAATTGTTCAAAGTCAGGATGTTTTGTACTCGGACGGGAACGTGAAGGAGACAGCATTCCCAAATACTTGCTACCACATTTCCTTCTAGTTGGTAGAGGTCATGGGTTTCGAAGGTGCTGCCAAATGAGCCTTGTGAATTGCTGCAGAGCATTTTGTACATGGTACAGCCGGTGAAGGCTCCTTTGTCTTGGATGGTGTTGAGCTTTGAGTGCTGTTAGAATTGCAGTCTTTCAGACTAGTGGCAGTATTCTGTCACACTCCTAACTTGGGCCACGTAGGTGGGTCAGGCTTTGGGAAGTAGAGGGAGATCATGATGATGTCATTGGACTAGTGCTCATGTGGCCTTGATTAATGCTCTGGGGACCTGAATTCAAAGTCCACCATGGCAGCTGGTGGAATTTAATTTCAGTGAATAAAATCTGCAATTGAAAGCTAGTCCCAGAAATATTGATCTTCACTAATGTACTTTAGCGAAGGAAATCTGCCATGACATCAGTTGCACAGCAATATAATTGACCCTAAATCAAAGGGGAAGAGGTAATGTCATTCCATGAGTAATCCAAGGCTCCAGGCTAAAGTTCTGGGGACAATGGTTAAAATCTCAACATGCCAGAATTGAAGTCATCAGGCTGAATCATACGTGTTTTTGACTAAGAGTCACTTTTATCGAGTTGCATAGAGGGTTTCTTTCAATAAGGCCTAGTGAGTTTTCTTATGCTGTTGTCCAAACATGCCTCGTTAACTGCTGAGTTTGCAGAGTTCGGAAGTCATGTCTGAGTCAGCAGCTGTGGCATGTGCCATGGAGCATATACTGAGATGGTGATGCTGGGTGTCCAAGTCCAGAGGTGTAAGCAACAGGTGGTAGGATAGAAAGCTGCACATTAATGAGGCAAGATTTGCAGTGAATGAAACTGACAAGCAATAATCATCATTAATAGGCAATTCATGCTCCTTAAAAAAAAATCTTGTCTCGATTCTCCCCCTACGTCCACCCCCAAATGCTGTTTGTAAATGCAACGAGTTGCTCCTGATCAGAGATAGTAGGAACTGCAGATGCTGGAGAATCCGAGACAACAAGGTGCAGAGCTGGATGAACACAGCAGGCCAAGCAGCATCATAGGAGCAGAAAGGCTGATGTTTCGGGCCTAGACCCTTTTTCTGATGAAGGGTCTAGGCCCAAAACGTCAGCCTTTCTGCTCCTATGATGCTGCTTGGCCTGCTGTGTTCGTCCAGCTCTGCACCTTGTTGTCTCAAGTTGCTCCTGATGTTGAGAAAAGGCCTTGCCTGATTTCTTATTCAATTCTCCCAAGTTTCCCATTGTACAGAATGCTATAAGATTCAACTCAATTCAAAATTTTAATAGAAAAACTTGCCTAATGATGACTATGAGATTAATCTTGTGTTTTTTTCACCATTGCCCATTGTTGTTCAGGCCCATATAAGATTCTGTGTTATGTAACCACTGTTGATTATCATAAATGCTTCACTATTGTCTTTCAGGGACGGAAATGAGCCATCCTATGTGGTCTAGCCTACATGTGACTTCTGTCCCATAGAAATGTAGTTAACACTTAACTGCCTGCTGGGCAATTATATATGGGCAATAAATGCTGGGTTATCCAGTGATGCCCACATCCTATGAATAAATGAAAATATTGTCCTGTAAAATATCAGACAAGTTTTTGTGATGTCCACCTCCCAAAAGAGAATAAATATGATAATGTCAGAAATTTCCAGTCCGACCTTGCAGTCATTGTTATGACATGACTAGTCCAGTTAAGTTTCTGGTCAATGGTGACATGTCATTACGCTTAAAGGTGCTATATAAACACAACTCATGGTTAAACAAATTAGTTTGACATGAAAGGACGCAAGAAAGGATAATTACAAATACCAACAATTTCAGTTATGAGGAAATAACCATGTGTAGTTTGATTTATTTTCTTTGCATTTCAAGATAAGGAAGGGAATTGACAAGTTAGGAGCAGGTTAGACCGAGACAAGTCTGTTTGTCCCAGTTGAAGCTGTTCATGCATAAAAAGACAGCAATATTTAGAAACAAGATGGGCCATGGCAGTGTAAAAGCCTTCTTACTTAGACTGGATATTACAACACATCCAGGTGTGTTTTCAGTTGGGTGGGGCACATAATATCGGTCAGGTACCTTGCCCACCATGTTCCCATCCAGGCCTGAGTTCACCCCCAAAGTACAAAGGGTCCATCATAGGTAAATAAACAAATACCCACCTCACCCCTACTTCCCCATAATTTTCAATAATTTAACCATAGACTTCTAGATTGAATAGGAAACGACCTGTGAGGTCCTTTCACACTCTATAATCTCTGAAGAATAATGTCACAATGGAGATTTGATCTGATAAATACAGCAGTTGCTAATCTAAGTAAGAAAAAAGTCTTTCACTGCCTATGAGAGTAAAGGATAATTACGAAGTCACTGTTACGAGCTTCATCTGTGGAATGTTAATACATTCTAATCTTTACTCAACGAGTTTTGTTTAATAGGGCTTTTGAATTATGGTAAACTGAGGGATATTAGTTTCCCTTCCTTTCTCTCATGCTAGGCAATCAGTAACTTTAGCCGTGGTAATAATCACAAACAGATTGTTTGTGTGGTTTGTTTTCAGTATTTTTAGTTGCTGTTTAAACAGCCAGTTATGTTCTTGACTGATTCCTGAAGGCTTCTATGATTTTGGCTGATCGTCCTGACTTATTGCAAACAAAGTATATTCTAACTTTGCATCATGTAATCTGAATGAACTATATCTGAAAAATAAATTAAATTTTTGAACATCCTTGAGGATATTTCACTGTCAATCGTGGCTCAGTTAGCACATTTGCTTCTGAATCACAAGATTTTGGATTCAAGGTTTAAGCACAAAAATCAAGGCTGAGCTCTAGTGTAATACTGAGAGAGCGCTGCACTTTTGGAGATGCAATATCAAAACAGAAACCCCACCTCTCTATTGAGATGGATGTCAGAGAACTGATGGCACTATTTCAAAGCCAAGAAGGGGACCTTTCCATGGTGTCATGGCCAATATTTACCCTCAAGGAACATCACTAGACACAATTTAGATGCTTTTTTAAATATTGTTGTTCGAGGGAAATTGCTCTGTGTATTTTGGCTGTTGTATTTTCTACTTTACAACTCAGACTATTATCACTCTTTCCTTGATTGTTCACTGCTCCTAGGTGGCTTTACATGTTTGTTCTTTTCCTTTACTCAGATCTCCCAGAGCTGAGTGATAGTTCCTTGCCCTTCTTTAGCCTGCAAAAGTTCTCCCTACCATAATATTTCTTGATTTTCTGTTGACCCCCAGTCATCTTTCTAGTTGATATGTGGTGAGTACTTTGCATTATTGTGGTATGAGTGGATTTGTTTCCACTGCGTTGTTCGAATTAAGTTACCAAAATTTCTTTCTTAGTAAAATGCAATAATCATAATTCTTTCTCATGTTATTTTTTAAAATGTCCTCTTGTGCAATGCTGTTATTTCTCAGATGTTAGTCCACATCTGATCTGTGAAAAATAACCTCCAGTTATGGATCAACATAATACATTGCCAATATTTCTAAAAATGAACTTAACAAAAGGTGGCAACTTGCTGATTAACTAAGATCATTTTGAATAGTGGCGATAGAACATGCACAAATTTGAAGAAATAAAGTTTTCTAAAATAAAAGATATTCATAATTTCTTGTTCATCTTGTTACAGCTGAACAATTTCCATTGACCAAATATATATGCATTTACATATATGTATATATATAAACTTAAAGATAGAAATTTAAAGTTGCAATATCTTAACTCATTGTTATACAATACCACACAGTTTGATTATCCTACTGGTGTCTATCATATGTTGCAATATAAAATGAACCAGCAAAATGAGTTACTGCTTAAAATCACCTTCAGATGGCACCAACAGTCTGCAGTGGAGTTTGTTCCCTAAATGTAATAATCAGAAAGCCTTGCAATTACCTCTTCACACGACACCTCAGAACACTGCACACGGTTCCCTAAGATATGTATTAAAGAAGTGACAGCCGCCTCGCTCAAAATGTCTTCTCCTGGGACTAGGAGATCCACCACTCTCCTGAAGACTTCTTCTTTAGAGATGAAAAGAGATCCATTTCCCTGTGAAGCTGCCTGCTTTAGAGCAGCCAAAATCACAGGGAGCAGCAGAAACAGCCTAAACATGGTGCAGTGAACAATTAAAAAGGAAAAGAACTTTCAGTTCCTTCACACAACAGCTTATTCAGGAAAGCCTTGAATACTTCTATACAAAGATATTCAAATGGCTGCAATTTAAAGTTGATGAGTTTTATAGCTAACCTTGTGGCAAATGTTCACCCCCTCCAATACCCACCTCCCTGTCTCTTGATTCGCTGGAAGATATTAATGATGTCAGACATTACACTAAAAGGAAACTCCCAGAATTGCAGATCTTACGTTAATAATGATACCAACTATTTGGACTATCAAAGCAAACATATTCACTTTACCTTGGACATTTCAATTCTATTAATGATTATTTCAAGAAAAAAATTCCTTTAAAAGATTTTATAATATGCTTTCCATAGTAAGTAAAACTTTGTTCTACTTCCTGCACCTATGTACTCTCCAAGTCACCTGGCTTCCCTTTAATAAGTTATTGAAGGTAAACAAAATGTTACTGTGACTTTAGAAAGGTGAAAATCAATACTTTATCCTGACACTGAAAAACAACCTTTCACTCCCTTCTTACCAGATTAAATTTTCTTTCTTGGCTTCATTGCTGCTTATTAAATTTAACCTTTCACCAAATTATTTTACTTTAGTTTTTAGATTTGCTCCAATTTCTATACCACCAGTTTCTCAGCTTATGTCCATGATGGCTTGTTTTAAAAAATCACTTTTGGTATTTTTTGATTTTAAAAACATAAAGTACCAGAAATACAGATAAATATATTGGCCCCTTCAAAATAGAAAAGCTGGCTTAACCTTTCAGGTGAGTATTAGCTTGCTAAAATACGTGAATTTCTACAATGACAGTAACATCCATCTTTGATAGAAAATGAAACATCTCTTTACCCCTTTGCATTCAAATTTTTCCATTCCTTATGTGAAGGAATTGGAATGGAAGTTGATTTAGGTGCATTCTCTGGCCAGATAACCTTTAGAGTATGCCAGAGGCCCAAGGCTCATTTGGAATTGAACCACTGTGAAAGCCTGCCAGGCCCCCTGATGCAGATCTACCATGCATATACCTCCAGTTTGGGTCAGCTACCACACTGGAAGGACTCTTCTGACAGATTCTGAGAATAAAGGAGAGGGAAATGGAGAACTGGAGTCTCAATGAACATGAGTGAACAGGCACTATAGTGCTACAGATGTTGGAGAAATTGCATTCTCCCTCACTCCACAATTAACTATGTTTGGCAGTTTCTAACAGTTACTTTAAGGAGTGTTTGTGAAGGGAATAAAAGAACATAGAACAGTACAGCACAGTACAGGCCCTTCGGCCCCCGATGTTGTGCCAACCTATAATCCTACTAAGATCAATCTACCCTGCATACCCTACATTTTACTATCCTCCATGTGCCTATCCAAGAGTCGCTTAAAAGCCTCTAAACGATCAGACTCCACTACCACGGCCGGCATCGCATTCCACATGCCCACCACTCTCTGTGTGAAGAACCTACCTCTGACATCTCCCCTATACCTTCCCTCCAATCACCTTAAAATTATGCCCCCTCGTGATAGTCATTTCCGCCCTGGGAAAAAGTCTCTGACTATCCACTCTATCTGTGCCTCTCATCATCTTGTAAACCTCTATCAAGTCACCTCTCATCCTTCTTCGCTACAATGAAAAAAGCCCTAGTTCCCTCAACCTTTCCTCATAAGACCTGCCCTCCAGTCCAGGCAGCATCCAGGTAAATCTCCTCTGCACCCTCTCTAAAGCTTCCACATCTTTCCTGTAATGAGGTGACCAGAACCGAACACAATATTCCAAGTGTGGTCAAACCAGAGTTTTATAGAGCTGCAGCATAACCTCACGGCTCTTAAACTCAATTCCCCTGCCAATGAAAGCCAACACACCATACACCTTCTTTAGAACCCTATCAACTTGTGTAGCAACTTTGAGGGATCTATGGACGTGGACCCCAAGATCCCTCTGTTCCTCCACACTGCCAAGAATCCTGCCATTAACCCTGTATTCTGCATTCAAATTCGACCTTCCAAAATGAATCACTTCGTATTTTTCTGGGTTAAATTCCATCTGTCACTTCTTTGCCCAGCTCTACATCCTGTCCATGTTCCACTGCAACCTACAACAGCCCTCCACGCTGTCCACAACTCCACCAACCTTCGTGTCATCGGCAAACTTACTAACCCACCCTTCCACTTCCTCATCTAAGTCATTTATAAAGATCACAAAGAGCAGAGGTCCCAGAACACATCCCTGCGGAACACCACTGGTCACTGAGCTCCAGGCTAAAGACTTTCCATCTACTACCACCCTCTGTCTTCTATTGGACAGCCAGTTTTATATCCAGACAGCCAAATTTCCCTGAATCCCATGCCTCCTTACTTTCTGAATGAGCCTACCATGTGGAACCAATTTGAATGTCTTGCTAATATCCATATACACCACATCCACTGCTCTACCTTCATCGATGTGCTTTGTCAAATCCTCAAAGAATTCAATAAGGCTTGTGAGACATGGCTTGCCCCTCACAAAGCCATGCTGACTATTTCTAATCAAACTGTGCTTTTCCAAATAATCATAAATACTATCTCTCAGAATCCTCTCCAATAATTTGCCTACCACAGAAGTAAGACCGACTGGTCTGTAATTTCCAGGATTATCTTTATTCCCTTTCTTGAACAAGGGAGTGACATTTGCCACCCTCCAATCTTCTGGCACACTACTCCAGTGGACAGTGAGGACGCAAAGATCATTGCCAAAGGAGCACCAATCTCTTCCCTCGCTTCCCGTAGTAACCTTGGGTATATCCCGTCTGGCCCAGGGGACTTATCTATCCTCATGTTTTTCAAGATTTCTAGCACATCCTCCTTCCTAACAACAACTTGTTTGAGCATATAAAGAACCAAAAAGAAACTAAACAGAGCATATCAAGCATAGCTCAGCTCAGCAGCACTCATTTTTTCATTAAGATGATGAAACCAGCGTTAGCACATGGACATTCAAGAAACTCAATGGTTTCAAACATGCTACGGATATTCTGAGGGTGTGAAAGACAACAGGTGTTCTGCACCTGAATATAGACACAGCAAGGGTGCTCTTGTGGTGCAGTAGCAGTGTCCCTACCTCTGAGCCAGAAGACCCAAGTTCAAGGCACACCTGTTCCCTAGATGTGTTGCAAGGCACCCAAACAGGTTGAATAAAATTATCAGTAGGCACAGTAATTTCCAAGATAGTAGGAACTGCAGATGCTGGAGAATCCGAGACAACAAGGTGCAGAGCTGGATGAACACAGCAGGCCAAGCAGCATCATAGGAGCAGAAAGGCTCCCGGAGGGAGGAGGGTAACTTCTTCAGGTGTAATTTCCAATTTCTGTTGCTTACTTCCCATAATAATTGTTTCTCATTGCCCAGCAATTCTATGACTGTCCTATGCTACCACGCTGAAGGACAACATAAAGCCTGCTGTCATCTACATATAACATTCACACAAAAATCACAAAAACCTGGTCGATGAACATTAATTATTTGTTGTTTAACATAGTGGAACTTAGTAATCAGCTTGAGAGATAGAAACCTGAGTTGGAAACAACTGTGCTAAGCTTAAATGAGAATAAAGACAGGTTAAGCAAGTTTTTTATTTACTCGTGAAATAGGCATGACTGGCTGGCCAGAATTTATTATCCATCCTTCATTGCTCTTGAGAAGGTGGTGCTGAGCAAGAGGGCAAAATGTTGGCAGATGGAATATAATGTGGGTAAATATGAAGTTATGCACTTTGACAAGAAGATTAGAGGAGCTGAATATTATTTAAATGGAAATAAAAACTGCAGAAAGCTACAAAACAGAAGGACTTGGGAGTCTTCATCCATAAATCACAAAAAGCTAGCATCCAAGTTCAGCAGGTATTAGGGAAGGCAAATGGAATGTTGGCTTTTATTTCAAAGAAAATAGAATATAAAAGTAGGGGTGTTTGCTAAAACTATAGAAGATACTAGTCAGATCACAGCTGGAATACTGTCAACAGTTTGAGCTCCTTGTTTAAGGAATGATATACTGCTATTGGATGCAGTTCAGAAAAGAATCACAAGGCTGATACCAGGAATGGAGAGGCTGTCTTGTGAGGAGAGGTTGAGTAGTTTGGACCTGTATTCATTGGAATATACAAGAATGAGAGGTGACCTTACTGAAACATATAAGATTCTTGAGGCTTGACCAGGAAAGGTTATTTCCCCTCACGAGAGAGTCTGGGACCAGAGGCTATAAACTCAGAGTAAGGGTCACACATTTAAAACAGAGATAAGGAGGAATTTATCTTCTCAGAGGATGGTAAATCTGTTCTCTACTGTGGAGGGCTGTTGAGGCTGGGTTATTAAGTATATTCGAGGCTGAAATAGATTTTTAATCTTTAAGGAAATCAAAGTTATGGCCAATAGCAGGAAAATGGGGCTGAAGATTAGCTGGACAGCCATGATCTGATTTGAATGGTACAGCAGACTTGATGGACTGAATGGCCTATGTCTGCTTTTACATCTTATTGTCTTATTTCCCTAGCCAATGGCCCAATTCTATACTTTTATCCTTAGGCAGAGACCAGTTTGCTCACGTGACATCATCAAGATGGTGGTGGAGTAGGGCTCCCGAGCCAGGGCTCATTCACTCCCACCTATTTTTTTTCTCCTTTCTTGTTTCTTCCTCTTTTCCTTTCCATCACTTACCTCTTGTCCTGAGCTTGGATGGCACCAGAGGCAGCAAGGAATCCCAGCATGGACTCAAGTGGGCCCACTGCAGACTTGTGACAGTGGTGAGTGAGCCTCTACTTACTTTTCTGGGGCGAGCACGGGACCTGGCATCAGAATCAACGGTGCTATATTGGTGGAGGCAATGTCAGTGAGGTAGGCCCAGCAGTGAAATTTGGTGCCTGAAGATCAATGACTTCTTCGTTGTTTGGATCTGGCCCTGCCAGCAACAACGAGGAGGGATGGCAGTGAAGGCATCGTTGATGATGAGCAGACTCAGGACTGATGGACTCTCTTTATCCTTATTTTTAAACTATTCAAAGTGGCAATGGATTTCTGCAACAGTG